ACAGTAGGGGTGGGGGAAGGGGAGAGCAGAGAGAGAGAAGGAGGGAGCGGGGTAGGAGATGGGAAGAGCAGAGAAAGGGAAGGAGGAAGGGGGCAGGGGTATCGGTGTGTGACACACCTTTTGGAGGCCAGACACAATTATAAGAGGGACTTTACCTAACAAATGCAATCAGTGTAACCTGCTTTCTTGTACCCTCAATCACTCAACCCTATTATGAAACTAATTGTTAACTATCAGAGGAAAGCTAAAACCCAAATGGAGTCCAAGAATATCGGGAAAGGGGTGAGGGAGGGGAGGGGAGGGGGGAGGATGGGTGAAAGAAGGGTGATTGTGGGGATCATGCCTATGATTTTTCCTATAAGGGTACATGTGAATCTTTCTAAATTTGAATATAAATGTCTTAACACAACAATTATGAGAATGACATGATGGCTATGTTGGCCAATTGGATGAAAGTATTTCAAATTGTATATGGAAACAACACACTGTATCCCATGATAGAATTAATGTGCACAAATATGATATAATAAAAAAAAAAAGAAATGGATACTCTGATTTCTGTCTCTCCTCAAGCTGTGAAAAAAAAAATTAAAAAAAATTAAGATCTTAGGTTCTCCTTTAATGGAACTGGAGCTGAAGGTTGCACAGGTGAGCAAACAAAGCTGATGATGGTCACTGGGCTTCCAAGTTCAGAGGATTCTTGCATTACCAGGCAAGCACTGGAGATTAGAGCAGCCACGACCACAAGTGCTGGCCTACACAGCTCGCTCAACCACCAGTTACCTACCAGGAAGAGAGCAGCCTTGGCTCCACTTTGGAGTTGATGTTGTGTAGGCCGATACTTAGGTTCTCTTTAATTAGCCCTTAACCCTGGAAGGACAAGAACTGAGGACTATAAATGAGCTCTCCTCCCCCTCAAAAAAATTAAGAGTAGGTTGAGAATCTAATGGTTCAAGGAATGCCTAAAAAATGTGCAAAACAGAGTTCAAGACCATAATCTAAGCAGCATTTTTGAAGAGGACTCTTTGGTGGCTTTGCTCATTTAAAAATGGAATTATCTAATGCCTGCCACACACACTATATATATGTGTATACATATAGACACACGCATATACACATTTATCATATGAGTTTCATAACTAAGAAATATTTTTAAAAGTCTCCAAAATACACTTCCCCTTAAGTACACTTTAATGCCATATGCCTGGAATATACCAAAACTGGTTACTTTCGGGCTCAGAGCACAGGAAATATGTTAAAATTGTAAACATAGGACAGTGGTATATCAAGGAAATGAAATACACGAGTGGTAACAGCCTTGCCCTTTCACTGTGGCTTGTAATCTCCTGCTCAAAGTGTGGGGTACATTTGTTTCGCTTCTATGTGTATAATATGGTCACAGGATGAGGTAGTTTTAAATGTCAGGCTTTTAGGCATGTTCATTAGATCCTGGCAATCTATTCAATGGGCCTAAAAATACTTTCTGGGCTTATGTATCTCAAAATCACTCAACAAAATCTGGAGCACCATGTGACACCAGCTAAGTAGCATACACAGAGGCAGGGTAGAACTAGATTAACAGTGTGGCTTTGGGGGCTGGACAGACTAGGGTTGAATCCCTGCCACTCACCAGGTAGTAAGACCCTGGGCCTCCTTAGCCTATGAGCATGTGTTTGCTTCCTCTCTGGGGAAACACGAATCATACCAGTGCCCACCTCTCAGGGTTGGTGTGATACTGCAAGCAAAACACTTGGCACAGTCTGCACTTGGGGGTAAAAAAGGTCGACAAATAGTACAAGTTATTATTTTTTGCAAGATTAGTGACACAAAATGGAAGCTAGCTGTGTCAGCTGTGTTTGTGTTATACCTTCCAGAGGTGTGTGGCATGCTGCATGCACCTGGTAAGCACAGGCCAGGTCTTGCGGGGCCACGTGAGCCTACCTACTATTTCACAAACACACCTAAATGCACCCACGAGAAGAATTTTTTACTATGCTCAGGCTACAACGACCACCAAGTGCTTCTTCAAACAAAATCTGCCCTTTTTAGGGTGTCAATGATGAGGTTTATCTTCTTTTAATTGGCTTTCAAAGGGAAGTATCTCTCATTACCCTCTGTGCACTTCTACTAGAGCCACCACCAGTCCCTGGCTTCCTGACCATATCCCAGGCCAAGAGACAGAGGCCTAAGTGGGAAAGAAGTGAAGACTCAGGAGAAGGGCCCTGTGCATGTCCACAAGTCCTCACAGAGGGAAGGAGTGTGGTGGGATGGGAATGCAGGGATCTGGGCTCACTCAGTGCCCAGTGACAGCTTTATCACTGTACACCCTGAACAAGTGACACAGCCTCCCCAAGCCCTGCTTTCCCACCTACACCAGTGCCTCACCATGGACCTCCCTCCCAGGGTGCTTGTGAGGCTTGAACACTGTGCTCTAAGGGCTGTGCTCAGGGCTGGCCTGGCCATGGCAACCAAGGGGAGCTGCTCAGACCCCCAGGCTTCCCAGATCATGGGCCTGCACCCCCACCCCAGCTTCCTGCAAATAGGTTCTATGCTGGCCCTTGTGCAGCTTAGGAAATCTCTGTCCGCCTGTCCTCAGGAATAGCACAACAACACACTGCGCCTGCTTCCTCAGCCACACACCAGCCCCACGTTGTCTGGCCCCTGCCCTGGGTCCACACCATGCCTGGCCGTAATCACTAGCATAGCACATGCAGGTTCCAGTAAGAGGCCTGCACATCTTTCCCTACAGCCCAGGAAGCAGAAAGTGCTCCTGGCATGGGCTTTGCTCCACAGAGGAGGAGTCTGGGCACAGGCATGGGGCAGAGCCAGCTCCCAACCTCAGACTCACTCTTCTCCCCACTGCTCAGTTCTCCCCTCCACTTATACACCCAGCACACGGCATCAAAGGCTAGGGTACATGGAGGACGGGGGAAGGGAGACCAGGCTGGGAGTGGACTGTGTTTGAGTCTAGTTTGCCACACGTTGGTGAGGCCTCAAGGTCAGAGGGTAAATAATGTTCTCCCCCTCCCCCAAGTTCCTAACACTGGGGGTGGCCACGGTACTTATGGGTTCCAGTCCCATTTAGAAGCATGGCAGATACTACAGATGGTCGCATCATCTGAGACACGCCGACTACGTGATGACACCTGGATCCGGAAGCCCAGGTGTTTGCAGGGAGTGCTCTTACTGAGGAGCTGGTGCCACAGGAGAGGAAAGCCTGGAGCTACCTCTAGTGGTAGGCTAGAGTACAAAGGAGCCTAGGGCCCAGGAGCAGTGGGGGGTCACCTTCTCCTCCAAGGGGCACTCAAGGCAGCACCCCTTCCAGAAGCCCAGTCCTTCTTGGTCCATGGTAACCAACACTGTTTTGTAGGCGGCCTGGCACTGTCATCCCCATTTTTCACGTGAAAAAACTAATTTGGAGAGATTAACACCTGCCAAGGCTCACACAGCAGAGCAGGGATACAACCCCAGTAAGCAGCCTCTTTCTTTGCCCCCCGTGCTGGCTACAGACTAAGCCGCAGGGGTACTTGCTGACTCTGTACTCATCTGAAGGCAGAGACTGGGCTAACCGAAGCACAAGATGGCTTTCTAACCTTAACCATTATTACCATATCCTGTTCTCACTTTGTTTCTGAGATACCAGCATCAAACCTCCTGCTTAGTGACAGACCCACCACAGCTCCCCAAAGCACTGTGGCCCTGAAGCACCAGATCTGAAGCACAGATGCTCTGCAGGTTCAGGGATGGTCTCTGTGGGCAAGTTTAAGCTCACTTAGCATCATCCAGTTGTCTGAAGCAAATTTCCTTGGAGAAGAGTTCTGGAATGCTCAGTGTAAGGTACTGAGGCACGTTGAACAGCATGAAAATAACACATGTTCATGAAAGGCTTCCCAGGAGTCAGGCACTGGGGTCAGTGCTTCACATACACGGCTTTCACCTAAGCTTCCCAACAACCCCAGCAGTGGCGAGCTAAGCTCAGTGCATGCCCTGTCCAGGGCCTTGGAGCCAGGAGGTGGCAGATCACAGATCTGACCAGGTATGCCTGATTCTGGAGCTCAAGCTCTTCACTGCCAGTCTGTTTGTCTAACAGCCAGAGGGGGAGGCCAGGCCTTGGGAAGGCCATGACTGGCTGGAGGCTGTGCAGAGCCCAAGGCAGCCAAATTCCAGTGTCCTGCCCACCTCCCAGCTTAGTTCACCAGCTGGCAAAAGCTTGGTTCCTTCTCTGCCTGCCACGTCAGTCACAGGAACAGCTGGATACCCAGGTCAGTGGAGAAGGCTGAGCGTGGGCCTGGCTGACTAAGGGAAGAGGTACAGGGGGATGTCTGGAGGGCTCTGAAAAATACCATCTTTTCACCAGAGGGGAGGGGCTGTGCTCCTGCTTCATGTCACCATTCCAGCTCTCAGTCATACACAGGGGACCACTGGGAGGTCACTGAGAGGGGCTGTAGCATCCTGCCAGGTCTCCCTGCTAAGCTGGACTTTGCGACCTTCTCTGGTTCCCTCTCTGTCTGGAAGGGCAAGGGAAACAACCTCCTTAGGCCCTAGGAATGTGTATGTGTGCAGAAGAGTGAATGTGCCAACAGGGGAGAGGCAGGATTTTCATGGGCAAATGGGACAGAGGGACCTGGAGAAGAGAGCTGGACTCTTCCAAGTGAGTCTCAAGCCAGCAGACAGAAGGGAGCATTTAAAATGACACTTAATCTGGCCTCCTAAGGCTCAGTTTCTTTACCTGGAAAATGGGTAATAACTCCTGCTCCTCGCAGGGCTGTGCAGGGACTAAGAGAGATCATGTGTATGAGCAGCTGGTACAGGGAAGGTGCTTAACAGAGTCACTTTCCACAATACCAATCTGCTTTATTTTCCCCATGGATTTGGATTTAAATAATGTTTAATTCCTCCTGGATCACTTCTTACTGTTTATTTGTTTATTTTTTTCCTCTAAGTTCCTTGCCAAGGATGCTTATACAGATCCAGGGCTCTAGATCTCCCACACTTTCTCAGACTCTTGGCACTTGTGATTGATCTTAAACTTATAGGAAAAAAAGAGTAACAAGAAGAGCTACCAGGCATGCTTAAGGTTGGTTACCTCTAGCTAACACACAAAAAAGCATCTAATGATGCAGCCCCCAACTAACTTGGAAAGATGGCTCTTCATCCAAACAGATGAGGGACTATAGGTTCCCATCAATCAGTCTCAGATCTGCCTCAAAGGCCTCAAGGCCATCACTCTGGCAGTTTCCTTTCCCTGGGACAGTTCCCGATTTCCCAAGACCCAAACCACACATACTTGTTGGCAGTCAGGACACCTTCTGTTTGTTCCTACTGGGCAAAGGAAGGTGAGGGATGAGGAGATAGGGAGCTGCAGGACGGTCACTTTCTCCTGCAGGCCACAGGAAGTGATGAGACATTCAAACCAAAGGCGGCCCCTCAGGCCCAGGCTCTGGCTCCTGCTCACCTTACCATATACCCACTGGCTTGCCAGGTGATGAAGGCAGAGTGTGGCTCAGTGCTAAGGGAATCAAATGTGCCCTGGGGACCACTGGGCCGTGGGGGTTGGGAGAACCCTGCAGCTTACACATTCAGGGAAGCCTTCGGGGGCGGGGGGGGGCTTCCACAAAGGAAGGGAAGGAAAGGAACCAAAGTCTCAGATGCAGCAGTGAGCAGGGGCTGTCGGGTGCGGTGATCGGGCTGGCTTTATCCACGAGACTACAGCATGGTGAGTTCACTCGCTCTCTAGTCAAGCAGCAGAGGGTTGTGGGATACAATTAAAATTAAAACCTCTTGCACTTACAGTCTTATGAAGATTAAGTACATTCCCTCCACTCCCAATGCTGTAGAAATTCTGAATGATCAATCCGATCAATCCTAGCCTTCCCTTGAATTCTAGGCAGGAAGAGACCACTAGAAATCTCAGTGTGAGCTAGCAAGAACATCATAAAAAGTTCTTGATCAGAGGGAAAGGGGGTTAAAAAACATCTGGGATCTGGGCACCTCATAAATTCTTTCTCAAGCATCTAAAGAGTGAGTGTTTTGCTATAGGAAACTGCATTAAAGACAGATGCTAGGGGCTCAGAAACCACAAAGCTAGGACCTCTTTCCATGGGTCTCATGGCATAAACTCTTGACATTTTAATATGATGCTGCTTTGTGCAATTTATTTTATTTTAATATATAAACGTATTTTGCAGTTTTTGGCCAAGGCCAGGTTTGAACCCACCACCTCTGGTATATGGGGCTGGCACCCTACTCCTTTGAGCCACAGGCACCACCCATGTGGTGTTTTTTGTTTTAAAAAAGCAGTCCTTGTGAAATACTCATTGCAAACTTTGTTGGAAAATAGCTATATTAGACAAGTGAGAGGGCAAGGGAGAACAGGCACTGAAGGCCAGCTCTGTGGCTGACACTTCTGTCCCTCTGAAGCCTGTCCTGATCATGTGAGCTGCAGCATTCTCACAGTAGTCAGGAAAGCTCAGGGGACCCAGGTTACAGATATGGAGCAGGGTAAGACACTGGTGACAGGGCAAGATGCAGGTGAGGTTAGTGGAAAGTCCCTGGGGCACCACAGGGTGAGGGAAACAGACCTCCCTGTATTTTTTTATTGCTGTTACAACTTTAGGACTTTGGGTGGGTTTATTTGTAGGTAAAGGGACTTCTAAGAATACATCTACCTGAGACAGCTGCAATTAAATCCAAGCTTCCTCTCTGACAGCATCATTATCAAGCTGATTAGTGTTTCCAAAAGCCGAATTAAACTTGCCATGTTGTATCCTCATGGATAAAGCCAACCCAATTATCAAACCCAAGACAGCCCCTACTCACTGCTGGTTCTGGGACTTTGGTTCCTTTCCCTCTTTTCTTCTCGGAAGACCCCCCTCAGATGGCTTCCCTGACTGTGTAAGCCTGCAGGGTTCTGCCCAAACCCTACAGCCCAGTGCACGCAGGGCATGTTTGGTTCTCCTGGCACTAAGCCACACTCTGCCTCCATCACCACCATTTGGGTTGGTAGTAAGGTAAGCAGGACCCAGACAGAACCTGGGAGCCTGTGAGCAAGATCTTTAAAAAGCAGCATGTTGCTCTGAGCAATAGCCAAGCAGAGCACAGCAAGGGCTATTGAATTGTCCCTCTAGCCCTCAATTCCCATATCCAAGCCCTAACCCCCAGCGCCTCAGACTGTGACTGCATTTGGAGAGAGGGCCTTTACAGATTAAGTTAGAATGAGGCTGTGGGGGGCCCTCATCCGACCCGACAGACGTCTTTGTAAGACGAGATTATGAGGCTCAGAGACACCAGGGCTGCACATACAGGGTGACCATGTGAAGGGGCAGCAAGAGGGAGGACATGTGCAAAGTAAGGAGAGAGGACTCTGAGGAAACCAACCCTGCTGCCACTGTGATCTTGGACTTCCAGCCTCTAGAAAGATGAAGACATACACTTCTGCTATCCTGTTATTAAGCCACCCAGTCTGCAGCATCTACTTATAGCAACTAAGCAAACTAATATACTTGCAAGAGCCAAGAAGAATAGGCCTTAATGGAGATGTTGAAATCAGGGCCCACTGGCACTTCCCAGGAGCTCTCTGACAAGGCTCAGCACTGACCACTCCCCGAGTTGCTGGTGCTTGTCAAGGCCCACTCCATCTCTAACACTATTCTAAGGCACCATCCTTTAGGCAAAGACAGCCTGTCCTACTTCTAACGTCTCACTGTCCTGGTCCTTTATAAAAAAGCACAAGGGCCAGGCATGTAATGAACACTAACAGGAAACAGAGGGGACATCTACTCACTGTTCGGCCACATTTGGGTCAAGAGAATCAGTTTCTGTGGGTGTTTCAGGCAAGGAGGAGCCGGACTCCTGTATCTGGCATAATTCCTCATCTGTGATGATATCAAACACAGCATCATCTGGTGGCCTGTAGTCTGTGTTTGCTCCTGGATGCAGAGGGAGAACAGGAGAGAAAAGACACACACACTGTTATGCGCAGGACAGGGAAGGGCCTTTAGGAAAGGAAGGGAGTAGGGAGGACAGCTATGCAGAACAAGCCTCTGGGACACATGTTAAATGGTCATTCACTGATAGCTATTCTGTCCAGATATAAGTGGCAATTATTTATTACTCTTTGAAAATAGGAGTCTGGCTGACCTACATTTCCCTCTAGTCCACTGGATGGGAAAGAACTTCCCTCTACTCAAGGAATTGCACTAGAGGCTTCATGTCTGACTTTCTGGGCCACTAACTTAGTAAGAAGGTCCTTGTAGGGCTGCCACCCACCCATAAGCACTCTGTAGCATATGTCATGAAAAATGTAAGAGCAAGACTGAGGCAAAAAAAAAAAAAAAAAAAAACAAGCAGATAGGAAATGTCAAAAATCAAACAAGTGATCTCAGCACTCTGGCCCAGTACCATTCCCTGTTGTTCCTAGGACACCTACCAGTGAGTCAGGGCACAAAAGTTCCTGGGTTGGTTAGCCAGAACAGTTCACATGAGCTACAAGTTACCAGCTAGCTCTGTTACATGACTACTGGGACAGACTCTGCTTTAGGAGGAATATTCTTCCTCTTGTCTCAAGTCTACAAAATGAAGAGCTTGAGTCATACACTGAAAAATGTTACAAGAACTGTTCTTATAGATCCAGCCCAGCCACACTCCTGAACCTGCCTTCTGAGGCTGGCAGAGGGAAGGGAAAAGCAGGCAACAGGGATCCAAAATGATGTCCACTGAGAGAGCTCAAGACCTAAACAAATGGGAAGTTATACCATGTCCACAGGTAGAAAGAGTCATTTTTACTAAGATGGCAGTTCTCCTCAAACTGACCTACAGATTCAATGCAATCCCAATTAAAATACCAACAGGATTTTTGTAGAAATTGTCAAACTGATTCTAAAATTTATATGAAAAAGCAAAGGACCTAAAATAGCCAATTCTTCCATAAAGGACAAAATTGGAGGACTCACTCTACCTGATTTTAAGAGGCTTTATAAAACTATGGTAACCATAACAGTGCAGTATTGGTAAAAGAATAGATGCATAGATTAAAGGAAGAGAATAGAAAGTCCAGATAAAGACACACATATAAGATCAATTGATTTTTGACAAAGGTGCAAAAGCAATTCTATGGAAAAAATAGACTTTCAATCAATGGTGTTAAAATGACTAGACAACCATATAAAAAATGAATGTTGGGGGGCCCCTGTAGCTCAAGTGACTAAGGTGCCAGCCATATGCACTAGAGGT